TTTTGTATCGGATGCTGCTTAATTCGCACTGGACCTTTTCCTGGCAAGAGCTGAACAGTAATAGGAGTATGATGGGCTGCCTTTCCTGGGATCCCTGATGCCCATACCAGAGGAAAAACCCGCTTCTCCCACTGACTCCACTCTGGGGCTTGCATGGCTGAGGGCTCAATTGCAAGTGTCATTATCCAGGCATTCTCTGGAGGTAAGGTGAGGCTTATTTCATCTTGAGTGAAATGCTGGGTGGTTCCTAAGCGACAAAGCAGATCCCGTCCCAGTAGAGGCGTTGGACAATCAGGGAGGTAAACCAGTCTGTGAGATAGAGTTCTGTTTCCCAAAGCACATTCCGCTGGGGCATATACTGGGCACTTGGTTCCTTTCCCTGTGGCTCCCACCACAGTGAGGGAATCTGCCACAGGCAGCTGCAGGGGTTGGTTTACAGCAGTTCGTGCAGCTCCAGAGTCTATTAAAAAGTCTATGTCTGAATCTCCCACCCGCACTTTTACTCGGGGTTCCGGGGGCAGGATAGTCCGTCTCCCCGAACCCCTATTCTTGATCCTCCGCTGCCATCATAGGGGTACCTTCCCTTTCGGGGCACTCATTTTTCCAATGTCCCTCCTTTCAGCATCTGGCACACTGGTTGCGACCCAGATGCCTTTCCTGTGAGCCAGGGCGCCCACGCCCACGTCCTCTCATTCCCCGGCCCCTTCCAGCTTCCTGAAATCTTCCCCTGCCACCAGCCTGTACTGCTGCGACCATCATTTTCACTTGCCTCTTTCCTTTTCTCCCTCTCTAAGGCTGTAAGCCCTGTTTGCAGTTTTCAAAATCTGTGCCATTGTCATGCCCATCGAATCCTCCTTTTTCTGCAGTTTCCTTTGAATATCAGGGGCGGCACAGCTGGTAAAGATACCCTTTATAATTGCCTCGGTGGCCGGATCATCGGGATTGGCATTAGTAGTTTGCCTGATGGTATCCCGAATACGCTGTAAAAAGGCAACCGGACTCTCTTTTGGCTCCTGTACTAGCTCATGTGGCTTTGCCCAATTGTTATGTCGGACAGCCGCGTGTCGGAGAACAGTAAAAGCAGTTCTTTATACGTATTGAGGCGGGTCTGATCCTGAGCTCATTAGGATTCCACCGGGGGTCTGCTATAGGGACCTGATCTGCAGCAACAGGAACGTTTGCTGCGTTTCCCTCATGTCTCCGCTGTGCCGCCTCCCGTGCCTTTAACACGACTTGATTTCGCTCCACCTCAGACAGCAGCGTCCACATAAGGACATTACAGTCATCCCAGTCAGGCTTATGGCTAGCCAGACACCTTCAAAGACCGAGATAAACTTGCTTGGATTCATAGAGAATTCCCTGCCTGTGCCTTAAAGGCTGCTAGGTCCACCGGGTTAAAAGGCACATGCGTATAGACCTGCATAGTAGTGGCCGGGGGATTGTTTGCTTCAGGACGGGCTATCCGAGTCTCAGTAATCAATGGATAGAATCCCACCGAGGGGGCAATCTCTGGGACCTGTGGCACCCTAGCTTTATATGGTGGGGGTATTGGAGCCGAAGGGACACCGGCTCCGCCATTACAACCAGGGAAGGGTTCGAGGGACTAACATTAGCTACTACCGAACCTGTCGGGGTTAAATTACACCTCTGCAAAAGATCTGATCTATCTCTTAACAACATAAACAACTGTACATACATATGTTCTTACCATTTACCCACCTTTCCTGGTCCTCCAGCTGGTACTGAGGCCAGTCTACTGTACAGAACCTTTTTAATTTACTTTTAATCAACGGATCCGATCCAAACACTTTCCAGGGCACCAGAATGCACTCTAAGGGCGCACCCCTTCCCCTGCCTGCAGTACTCTGTCCCTGCCCCATACCTAGGGAGACACTGGGCGTCCCCAGGTCAAAACAGGTAA